CTAGCTGCCCACGTGACTCCTGAAAAGACTACCCCTTCGTCACCGCCTGCTTCGTCCCCTGCGCCTGCTTCTGGCGGGATGTTGCGCCTTCATGACTCGTGGCCGTGGTTGCACGCAGATCGCCGAGACATGCAAGGTCGCAAACCAAGCGATCCCGAGTACGACCCACGGACGTTGAAAGTTCCTGCCGACTTTCTCCGCAAGGAGACACCCGCGATGCAGCAGTGGTGGCAAGTCAAGCAAACCAACATGGACACGGTCTTGTTTTTCAAAGTCGGCAAATTCTACGAGCTGTTCCACATGGATGCCGACGTCGGATTCAAGGAGCTCGATTTGAACTATATGAAAGGTGAGAAAGCCCACTCGGGATTTCCCGAAATTGCATACGCCAAGTTCTCGGCGACGCTCGTGTCACGCGGCTATCGCGTCGCGCGCGTCGAGCAGACCGAGACACCCGAGATGATGAAGGCGCGCGGGTCCAAGTCCAAAGTCGTCGCGCGTGAGATCTGCTCGTTGCTGACACCTGGCACCAACACGATTAGCTTTCTGGACGGATCGCAAGGCCCGTTTACGGCGGCGTCGTTTCTCTTCACTCTGAAGGAGCAAATATCTTCGAGCGGCAAGGACGTCGAGTTTGGCGTGTGCATGGTGGACTGCTCGACGGGGACGTTTCACATTGGTCAATTCACCGACTCGTTGCAACGCGATCGCCTACGCACGCTCCTGGCTCAGTTTCACGTGGTCGAGATCGTTGTTGAACGCCACGGACTGAGCCAAGAGACCAAGGCCATCTTGACGCACGGAGCCAGTGGCGCCGTCAAGAGCGAGCTCAAGGCCGGAACAGAAATGTGGGACGCCGCCAAGACTGTCCGAGAATTGCGCGCGGCCGGGTACTTTGCTCAGTGGCCTGATGCGTTGAAGACGTGGATGGACGTTGTCGATCCGAGTAGCGTCCGGGCAAGCGGATGGCTCGCCATGTCGGCATTGGGCGGGTGCGTGTGGAACCTCCGGCGCAGTTTGATCGACCAGGAACTGCTGAGTTTGAGCCAATTTCAAACGTATATGCCGCCGGACGCCTTGTCGTCGCCCTCGGGGTCATCCCTAGGCGCATCCATCTTGTCGCAGCAATACGTTGTCCTGGACGGCCATACGATCCACAACTTGGAGTTGCTCCGGAACAATTACAACGGTCAGCGCACTGGGTCCTTGCTGGCACAACTCGACCAGACCGTGACGAATTTCGGTAAGCGGCTATTTGAAGAATGGCTGTTGAAGCCTCTCTGCGGTGTCGACGCGATCCATGCCCGCCTGGATGCCGTGCAGGAACTTATTCCGCAACACGCACTTGTTGTCGAGCTTCGATCGATCTTGAAGAGCATGCCGGACTTGGAGCACTACCTGTCGCGCATCCACGCGCTCGGCGTGCTCCGACCTGACCACCCCGACAACCGTGCCATCATGTACGAGACGTCGCAGTACAACGTGCGCAAGATCAAGAACTTTGTCGCGACGCTGTCTGGGTTCCAAGCGAGTTTACAGATCGTCAAGACTTTGAAGCAGACGTCGTGGACGTCGGCCATGCTGACCCGTTGGATCGGCACGTTTCCAGACTTGAAGGAGAAGCTCGCGTTCTTCGACAATGCGTTTGACAAGGCCGTCGCGCTGAAAACCGGAACGATTCAACCGCAGCCAGGCATGGACCCTGAGTACGATGACGCGGTCGCGGCAGTCGCAGGTATTGAGTCCGAGCTGGACGAGTACTTGGAGACGCAACGCAAGGCGCTGAAATGCAAGAGCATCGTGTACTGGGGCGCCAAGAAGGACGACCGGTTCCAGCTAGAAGTCCCCGAGTCCGCCGTCGCAGCCAAGCAGCCGGCCGAGTACGAGTTGAAGTCGAAGAAAAAAGGATTCAAGCGCTTCCACACGCCGTTCCTTCGCCACTGCTTGCAACGGCTGCCCGCCGCCGAAGACAGACGAGAAGTGGCGCTCAAAGACTCGGCACGACGAATGTTTGCCAATTTTGACAAATGGTACATCGAGTGGAAGCGAGCCGTGCAGCACCTGGCCGTCTGGGACTGCCTCATGAGTCTGTCTCTAGTCAGCGGGCAGAGCGAAGGATACACTCGACCTGAATTTGTTCAGCACGACGAGCCGTTCGTGCACATTACGGAGGGGCGGCATCCCAGCCTCGCGTCGACCGTGACCGACTTTATCCCGAACGATACACATCTCGGGAATGGCAGGGGTATATCGTCTTTCCAAGGTCGATCATGACGGACTGATGACGAGTAGGATCGATGATGCTTCTATCGGGGCCAAACATGGGCGGAAAGTCGACGCTGCTTCGGCAGACGTGTACGTTGGTGCTCATGGCTCAAATCGGATGCTTTGTGCCAGCGGAAAAGTGCCGGTTGACTCCCGTGGATCGCATTTTCACCCGCCTCGGCGCGTCGGACCGAATTTTGGCCGGCCAGAGCACTCTGTTTGTCGAGCTCGCCGAAACCGCGACGATTTTGAACCACGCGACGCGGCATTCCCTCGTCATTCTCGACGAATTGGGGCGGGGAACGTCGACGTTTGATGGGACCGCGATTGCTTTTGGCGTTGTCGAGCACCTGCTGCACACGACGGGGTACGAACTCATGCCATGATCGATCGTGTGGATTTTTCATGCGAGTGCTCCACAGATGCCGCACCATGTTTGCCACGCATTACCACTCGCTCGTCGAAGAATACTTGGACCATCCGAAAGTCTCCCTCGGCCACATGAACTGCATGGTGGACCCGACCAACGAACATAAAGTCGTATTCTTGTACAAACTGGCCGACGGAATATGTCCCAAGAGTTATGGGCTGAACGTGGCCAAGCTGGCGGACCTGCCCCAGGAAGTGATTGACGTGGCAGCGGCCAAGTCGCAACAATTTGAGCAAGTGCTGCAAGACTCGCACGTCGCCATGCAGGTGCGCCAAGCTCTCGATCGTCAAGACGTCCACGCGCTGCGGCAGCTCTGGAAAACGCTGGCCGACACCTCGTGAACCACGTCGTTGTTACAAGAGAAGGCTGGTGACTAGTCCAATCGTTGTTAATCGTCCTCCTTTTTGTCGTTCTCAAACATGAGAAGCCCTTCTTCGTACAACGCTTTGACGAGTCCGATTTGGTCGGCCGGGTCTTCGTGGGGCAAGTCGCCCACGCGAAAGTATGACGGGTAGCTCTTGAAAATGAACTCGATGCACTCCGCGTCGTCCAATTCAAACTCGAGCGGGGGCAACGGGACCTCGTGGTGTTTGCGAGAGTTTTCCTTGCAATGGTACACGACAGCTTTGCCTGGACACACGCCCCACAGCTTTGAGTTTCTCTCTGCCTTTCCCCAATGGAACGACTACACGCACCTTCTTCGATTGCCAGACGCACAATGCCATATCGCAGCAGCTTGAACCGCGCATTCACGTTGATCTTGGGCCGCGGGCTGCCTTCAACGGTGCAGTCCTCTTCGTCGTCTTCCAGCTACCCGCCACCACTGTTGGAGGTCCTTCACCACACTGACACACTCACCGCAGGAGGCAGACGGTCCACCAAAAAGTTGCGCGCCATTTGGTCACATGCAGCGTCTGCAATCGACATCGCTTCGTTCACCACCTACAGCAGAGCCCATGACAATACGTCGCCCACCATGATTGTCGTCGTACCACGCGCATGTGCTTCTTCAACGACGTTAAAAACGCTTCTCGGCGGGTGTCGCCTTCGAGGTCCGAGTACATGACGCCCATGTACCCGAGGTAGTCTCGCGGCAGCGACTTGCGCAGATCCAGGTTGGACGCGATTGCGCCCGCCAACGCTTGCGGTAGAATCGTCTCGAGAAAGTTTCCGATCGAGTTTTGCTGACCCGTCGACCCTGTCACGTGCAGCGAGTCCACCTGCAATCGATTTGTGTCATGCCTTTCTCATGACATGGATAGCTAACGCGTACGTCGTCAGGGCTTTGTGCTTGGTGGATAAAACCTCTTGGAAAGTAGAGCAGGTCGCCTTGCTCTAACGTGATGTCGAGCACAGGCTTGCCGATTTCGTCTTGGGCGAAATTCCGGCTAGATACACGAGGGAGGGTCTCGTCGTCGCTCAGTGGCGCGTACACCTTCCACAGTTTCTTGCCTTCGACCTGCGAGCAAACGAATGGGTAAGAGCGATCAAAAGCATTCAACATGTGCACGTCGAGTCGTACTTGCAGTAGGAACGCCTCAATGTCGTCGTAATGGGGAGCGAAGCCCTGCGTAGCCCACATGCCGATGAACATGTAAAGTTCAAACAAGGTCGTAGCCACGCGCACCTGAGTGCCTTTGGGGGTCAGGTATGTGTTGGAGCCCGCCATGCAGCCCCACTCTTCTTCGAGGATCGACAGCATCTTCCACATCTTGTCGGAAAATTTTTGCGGACACAGGAGGCGCACCGAACAACCGTCTTCAAAGTGCTTCCACACCTGCATGCAAGGTCAATCAACCACCACAGAGACGCGACAACCGTCTTGGAGGTGGCCGTGCCGGGCGGATTGAGCGTAGTTCGCGTCTCGTTTTCATATTTGGTCAAGTCGATGTCCTCGCCATATGCGAGCGTATGCTCCTTTAGCATGCGCTCGATCTCTTGTCGGGTGAACCTGACATGAAGATGTCACCCTCCGTTGAATTTAGAGATGTGCCACACACACCATCCATCGTAATAGTCGGGAAAGTTGCGCTTGATGTGGAGCGGCTTTCGCTCCCAATAGTTAGCGTAAAAGTCCTGCGATGTGTCAGAATGGCTCTTGCCGCGACAATCTTCATAGGTCGCATGGTACCTCGACGGTGACGGGGTATATCAGCCACTGGAAGTACATCTTGGCCTTTGTTGAGCTGTGCAACCCAGTGTCCTCGGACAGCTCGTGCGCGTCCACGACGTCTTCTTCTGAGATTTCTACACGCCAAGCTCAATCCGTGCTACGATTCAACCTGGGTTACCCTGTGTGATCACCAACGGATGCTTCTCTTCCACCTTGCGGCGCTTGCTCGACGGCGTCGACGTTAATTCCATGTTGAACCAATATGATGGACTGATTACTGGTGATGGAGAAATGATGTGAATTTTATGAAAATTACCCTGAATTTCGTCGAATGTTTTGACATTGAAATTGCCTCCTTCGGTCCCACATCAGCACATAGATTTTCCAATATCGAGAAGCACAGGAAGCTTCACTCGCGCCGCTTCCTTTTGCAGACGCGCCACGTCCGCGTGAATCTTGCAAAACACGGCCGACGTCGACATCTCTTCTTCCGTCGTAAGACCCGCGAGGTG